TTATTATCAAAGGTTTTTTTTTACATTACCAGTAATTTGGTCTTCTTGCCTACTTATTTGTCAGCATTTTCTCTTTATATCAAAAACATTTCATTGCAATGACTATTTGATTACCCTTAAAATAATTTTACGGGTTTTAAAGAAATGATTTAATTACCCTTAAGTAAGTCTTTATTAAACCCCTTAACGCTTCACGGACTTGCCTATGTTATCCACACTTGGCCCCATTAAATACCACTTCAGCTTTATTTTAATCAGGCTGAACAGTCGATCTCAAGACATTCAACTCGCTGACTGTAGCGTACCATCAAACTGACAGTGGGGAGCTCTCAAGCGAGACAAAACACCACAAGGGGGCAGTGATGTAACAAGGACGTGGAAAAGGTCAGAAAGAGTTTCTCATAAACAACAGTGAGAGCAGGGAGAGCAGAACAGGGAACACGGGGGTGATAACTGAAGGGAAAAGAATAAAGTTTGGGTCGGAGAGATGAATGAGGGGAAAAAAGAAACAGCAAGAGCAAAGTCAAATTATCAAAAAAAGAAAAGAAAAGAAAGATGAAGGAGAAAAAAATATGAAGAATGGACAAAGTACAAAGGACCTCTATGGCATATATACAAATATTAAGACAGGAGGAAATAACACATAAGATTAAGGCCACGGAGTGACAAACAAAAGCAAGCTGCTCAAAAAAGAGAAAAACGGTCAAAGACGTCCCTGATATCAATCACACGTAAGCTAAAAATGCTTGGGATTCATTTACACGCATGACTTTTCCACTTTTTAACAAACACTTCAGTTCAGGAAACTAAACTAGGAAAAAAAAAACCTTTATCTGGACAGTTTACTAAATATATCTGTCTGCCACCACTCTTTGAATAGTGATGCAGATAAACACAGATGTGAAACACACTCAAATGAGAACTATTGGCCTCCCAGAGAGCTGCCCCACTAAAACCACAGATCCCAGAGGGAGGCGCTCCGGTATCTTTTAAGTGACCCATTCTTTAAACTTACTTGGAGATATTTTTACTAAAGAAGATATTTGTCAGGAAATCACTCCAGAACAAGACTTCTGGGCTATTGCTTTCCACACCATCGTTGGTTTGACCTGCCGACCACAACATTTCGTCTGTGGTTAACTCACAGTTGTGTAGATTTGTTTGGTTAGTTGCCATCTTAGCACTTCATTTACCACTGTACATAAAAAGACAACAAATAACAAGACTGAGTCAGAGCATATACTTTGCTAACAGGACACATGAAATCTAATTACACATTTCATAGTAACAATATCATTTACTTTTGCTTTTCTATCACACATTTTGTGATATTCCCATTTTATGTGTGTACAATAATCTTCCAGCACATATGTACACACGCTGGCCCGCCTGTCTGCCCTTACAGCCCATACTGAACTCCACACTGCCTCATACTGTTTTTCCCCCTGGCTATGGGAGCTTGCAGAGGGCAAGCCACAAGGATGAAGAGCCTGATGACCAATGTAACACATGTGGCAATGCAAAAACACACACGAGCATAAAAGTCTAGTATTTCTGAAGAACTCGCAACCAAAATGCAGCCAATTTGAACTAAACTCACACTCACCCCACCCAGTGCTGTGTCATTCTGACAAAGCATGGCCAATAAACAGTTCAGCATAGTACAGTCACGCAAACACACAAAAGTGTAAAAATCTTTGGACGAAAAAAAAGTGCAAAATTGAAACAATTACTTATTAAGTATAAAAACAGATCACTCATTACTCCGCGTTAGAGCTTGTCTATACTCTCACACAGTAATTGGTTTTTCTGTGACATTTTTGTGTGTTCACCTCAAAAGCTGCTAGTAATTACTCACATGGATTAAACTGGAGACCACAAACGGCCGTGATGCTGCGCTGTTTTCAAGTTCCAAGTGGTGTTTATTAAGCTGATGTTTCAGGACCAAACGTTCACTGTCCATAAAGTGTAGAATTTGAACTCTGTGACGGTCTGCTGCAGTGGTTACTCATCTTTCTGTGATCTCTGTTTATCATTTGTATACAGAGCTCAGAGTAACATTTAGCATGATTCATAATAAATCACACAACAGGTTTGTCATAATTCACTCTGAATCTATTTAAAGGATTCAGGATCAGTTACGGTATTTGGTCCATATTCACAAAGAAAAAGTAAATCTGAAACTCACTGCTGGACTTTTGACACAGATGGACCTACTACAGATGAGCTTAGAAGAAGGTTTAAATATGTAGTATGCAATGAAGCAGTGGTAATGGAGCGAGACTATCTAACCACTGTCTGTCCGACAACCGTCTCCAGCACCCCACTGCTCCTTCCCTCCCCTGGCAAGGATGACCCCGTGTTCACACCAAGATAAGTGCAGGGGGACTCATCCATGCCTCTGAAATGCCCCTCTACATCTCTGACACCCCAGTAGCTCTCTGTCAGACTACTTTGTGTCCACAGGTTCATCCTACCACCTATTGTGAAGGCACCAGCTCAGTGGATCTGTTGATTGTCAGGATAAGGCTTCTTCTTTTTAACAAGGTCATTTCACCCCAAATCCCTAGATTACATTAGATTACACTAAATTACACTGGATTTAGGTAAGAAGATAGATTATGGAAGCCTTAAAATTCTGAAATGAGAGACCACCTAAGAACTAATGGGCACCATGTAATGTACGGAGACCAAATATGAATCTAATTTTGAAATAGTGTCTTTCTTGAACACTGGCTTAGTCTTTCTGGCTGTTTTGGTTTCCCTTTGGCTGCAGAGGAAGCTCCACTGAAGGTTTGTGATAGCAGAAAAGCACTGGTGGCTGATAAGAGAGGTGTGAACAGCAGTGTAAGCAAGCCATTGCAGGGGGTTGGAATGATTGACCGTCAGAGGTTAGAGGGTTACAAGACAAGAGAAGTGGACATAACAGAACTGCGCCGTGCCAGAAATGAGCTGAACTGCATGTGCAGTGGGTCAACTGTTACTGTTACGAAAAGAGCCTTGCAAAAATTAGCATACTTAAAGACAATACAGTAGCCCACATCAATGATTTCTACACATATAAAGTTGCCAGTCACAGCTGGATATACTGAACATAGAATGAAGGAGGTTATTATTCAACAAAAGCATATCCACCAATCACAAACAGCACACTTGGTATACAGTTTTATAACTAGATAGAGCTTTTTTTATGGCTGGGATAGGTGTAGTACATTCACTAAAGTACTAAAGTAAGTCTAAAAGACTACGATCGAAAAACATGTCTAGGGCCTGATGCAACACTTCATGCAATTCTACTGAATCAAAAATCCACCATGTGACTTGATAAGGTCCCTTTGCTGAACCTCCCCCATCTGCTACTTATCACACTGCCCCCGCCCCAAACACACACACACGCACATGCACACACACAGACAAAATGTGGACTGGTATGACCTCTGACACTTTAATCAACGGGCATTAAAGAGACTCTTAAACAAAACTGACGCACTGCGCAGATTGGACTGACAGGGCGACTGGCTGGCTGGCTTAGAGGCTAAGTGGGATCCAGAAGCAGCGGCTCTGAAAGATCGTTGCCAACACTTTGGAGATTGCAGAGGTGGTGGGAGAGTGTTGGCCATCACAGGGTTTACAGATTAGCCTGGTTTATTAGTTCACTATAAGGATCTTCCACCCTTTAAGGTTTGTCACACGTCACTTTCCTGCCTTGTCCGTTTAGGCCCTGTCTAATAAAGGCAGGGTCTCTGTCAGTCAGACGCAGATGGAGGAGAAAGGGTGAGAGTGATTTAATGATCTTGTAATGTTGGAGAACATAACAAAGCCGCCAAAGCTCTATAACAAAAAACATCACAAATCTGTACACCCACTTGCGTAAGAAAAAACACAGAGACACACTCACCAAAGCACAATGGTTTTGTGCAGATTTTCACCACAGCGCTCAGTATTTGCACATGTCCATGCAGATAAAAGACTTTTCCTTTTGAATTTTAATGATTTGTAACAAGCGGTAAAGTGACAGCATGTGAAAAATATGCAAAGTGCACCAGGAGGACAATGGTGCAGTCACAAAGCATGGCAATTAATCAGAGGGAAAATGAGAATTAGATCAATGTGTTGATATAGCTAGAATAAAGGAGAAAAAGTCTATAACTTATTCTGAAAGAGGGTAATATTTCTGATTCATGTTAGAGCGTAATAGTGACCAAGCCTTGGGTCAACTAACGGTTAGGCCACCTAAGGGATTTACAACAAATCCACAAGAAGTTACGTTTCTCTTAAAGTCTTGAAACGGTGCTGCTTTCCTGAAAATAAAAATAACAAATAAGTTTTGTCCCCAGATACAGGCCAGGGGAAAAAAACACCCCCATCCACCTTTTGTGTCAAATCTCTGCTATAAAACAATGCCATCCTCACAAATACATTGTTTCTTTGAGGGCTTTTGATTTCAAATTGCTGGATGAAGTGTTGCATTTGTACTGTAGTGTGTTAGGGTTCGGCTTTGAAGTAACAAATCTTAAAAATATTAGCTAAAATGAAATGCATGTTATGAACCTGTCATAGTAAGTTGTTTTTATGTCATGTACGGTCAATTGCTAAATATGTGTTTTTTACCTCCACATTAGAAGCTGTGACAACATTAATGCTCCGCTGATCACAGACCCTCTGTTAGCATGTATAGATGCATTTATAATGGTGCTCTCCCCCTTAAAACAAAGACCAGCTAACACAGATTCAAACAATCTAGCTGGTCTCTGTCGAGAGATCATGCTCAGGTACTAGTTTATTTATCAAGCAACATTTGAAATAAAGGCTCTCCTCTTATAAAAGCCTGCTTTGCATAAAGGAGGAGGTCACCCAATCTCTTGAAACTGTATAAAAGTCGATGTGATACATTGTGAACAACGGCAAGCTTGCAGAGATTCTATTACTTTCAACAAACCAATGATTTGTTTATCAGAAATAATGATTTACAGTTTCCAAGATATCTCTTAGATATTACTTACTGAAAAAAACACCTGCTTTTATTTCCTGTCTTTAATAAGCACACAGTCATATCCAATTTTCAGTACAAGGTAACAGGCCTCCATGAATTCCGGCCTACTGCATGCAGCGCACCACACATGCAGCCAAGTCATCCATCTCTCCGTGTGTGGAGAAGCCGGCTGAATTTAGTGTCTGCACCTGGACAGGAATCTTCTGCTTGTCCAAAATCCAGGCCTCGCAGTGACACTTTAAAACAGAGCAGACTCATTCAGCAGTCAATCAGCAGTCTTCACTTCCTCTGCTCATGTTATCTGTCACAACCCCCTCTCCCCCTTCTCTGCTTAAATACACTCATCCGTTATCATTCTAGCTCTCTCTACTGTTTTGATATCACTAGCGTTGTGTCAACATTTCAGGAGGCTGTGGATTCATGAGATGAGATTTTCCATCAGCTTCAAAATCTCAGACAACACGTATGTTTATCTTAAAAAATATCTTAAATTCCATGAAAAACTCTACAGCAAAGCAGAAAATACCATGTAAAAATATCACGTGGTAATAAGCCTACACCTATAATGAGGGAGACCCAGTAAACTTACAAACATGTATACACTACATGCATACACAGGCAAAAACAGACCACAGGATTGGGTTATATGTAACTCACTGCATTCAAAATGTCCCCAGTTAGATAAATTTGCTGCCCTTTAGTAACTGGGAAGTTACACAGCTAATACACAGGACACTGACATGCTTATATTTAGGTGAACATATACATATATACGTGAAACCAGTTTCACACTCAGATTGTATGACGCCAGTGTCAAAGGTCTGGTCTGTTTTCCCCCAGAAATACCAGAGAAGTAAGGGCTTAATAGTGCTGTCAACCATGGAACTGACAGAGGCCTAAAGCCCTGGAGCAAAGTCTCCACCTTGGCTGTATAGTTCAGCCACACAGAAGCAAAGATGTAGCCTGTAGGTTGGGTGTCAGGCCTCAATCTCAGCCCACACAGTTTATGCTGATACTACACACTGTGGGTACAGACTCACATTAGTCACAGCTTTCAAAACACGGCATCATATTTCATGGTAAATAGTTTTCATTATTAATTTTGGTAAAGAGTCTGTTACCAGGATGGTATGTCTGCATTTCTCTCTCACTCTTATTTTTCCTCTCACATAGGTCTAGAAAGCAAAACAGTGTCGATGGGTCATAATAAATGATAACCATTTGATTGTAGGTGGCTCTAATTAATCCTTTATTATTTATTATTATTTAAAAATGCTGATGGTGAGAATGAATGACAAAGACTGACACATGTGTTTGAAATATAGTTAAGAGGCTACAAAATGGAAAGCCATTTCATGGAAAAAAATCAGCTGTCATCAGCATACAAGTGACGAAATTAAGGTCGTGACTGGACATGTTTGGGCCTGTCTCTAAACTATATTATGTAATAACAATGGTAAAAACAGGCACAGAAGAGAAAATTAATAGGTGCTCAGAGTCAAAATGACAACTGGCAATAAAAGTTTAGCTGAGCTGGAGATGACCAGTCACAAGGCCTTGCCTGGCCTTCAGAAACAATAAGGCTCAAGTTACCAGGAGAGGCTGAGGGGCAAAGGGAGGAGGATGCTCTCTTCACCCACAACACCATAACTCTCACTGGGCCAGAGCCTCTGTCACTGGATGCTGCTCTGGTTGGAGCTCCCAGTAACCTTTTAAATCAGGTCCCACTGACAGCTTCCATTAACATTCCTGCCCAGCCTGGCAGGCAATTGAACAAAGGTTAAGTGGGGCAGAGCAGAGCATAGACTTTGGGGGTGGTGGTAAACTCTGGGACCAGGAACAGAAGAGCACATGGGTGCAGGACAGAAAAAGAGGAAAAAGCCACAAAGTGAGGGAGGGTAAAGATCAGAGATAGTGACGGAGACGGGGAGGGTACGGAGTGGAAAAAAACACTACAACAGGGAAGGGATCTGGAACTGATTTGTATTTGTGTGTAAAGTTCTGAATAGGTGCTTATTTAGGCTCTGCCAGAACTAGTTTCTACATAATGCCGTTCAACCAATTTCGAAATGTTTATACCTGATCCCAAAAGCCACACTCAAAGTTGAAGTGTTAAACTTAACAACATAAAGTGCAGGGAAGATATGGTGTTGATTAACCATGGAAATAAAAGTTAAAACAGTTTTTTCCAGACTGACGTTCATGAACAAATGAATAAAAGCAAGTGAAGAGAGTTCAAACCTAAAGCATACATTCTCACAACAGGTTCCAGGGAATTGGCCTAAGCATTTAAGGTCATACGTCTTGTATGTATGAGTGAAATATGAAATGAAATAGAAGAAACCTGCACAAAAATGAGAAAAGAAAAGGCACAGATCAATCAGTGGCTGACCCTCCCGTCCCAGGTCAGAGGTAGACAGCATGGGTCAAGTTGATATAAACCATACTTTGTGCATGCTGCCTTTAGCCATTATAGCATGGTGTACTGTGAAACAGTTACAAGGCGTTTGCCCATCATTAAAGGGGCGTGTGCATTAAATCATGTTTTGCCAGCTGAAAAAACCAGACACTCTTCAAAAGAGCCACCTGAGAACATTTGAGAACTCTTTGGGAGTGCAGTGGTTTTTATTAGCTATTTATTATGACACTGTGGTTGCTATGACACAAAATATACACAAAAGAGATGTGCTGTACGTACAAGAGTCTAACTTACTTCTGATTAACTAGTGGACCCACAGCGAGCAAAATGTTCCTCCAAGTATTCGTTTCATATCAATATTGTGCTAGTTTGACACACTTATAAATACTCACGGAGCTGAGGCATTAACTTCTGCTGCAGCAAGAATAGCTGCTGCATTCCTGCAGCTAACAGGGAACTTGATAAACTAAACTATCCATTAATGTTAGGATGTGGCTGG